TTTTTTCCAATGATAATATCAACAAAACAAACTAAATTAATTAAATTTAAATTGACATATTTTAAATTGAAGAATTGGGGTAAACTTCAATTTACAACATAAAAATTTAATTATTATTTTTATTTGAATTACTATTTTTGTTGGGTAAGTATTTCTAAATGTACATCAAAATTAAAAATGAATGTTACATTAATTGTTATGGTTACCAAATATGGTATTATACATTGTGTCAGCATGAAAAATTTAAATGATAATTCATCTATAAAAATACAACCCAACAGCCAACTATCTATATATGTAATTTTTCATTTAATAATTTTAGCTTCGATGCGAAGCTGAAAAGGTATTGGTTTTACTAAGATGTGTTTATTATTTTTTTTTTTGTGTCTGTTACCACTTTTTCTCAGCTCTCACCGAACCAATTTCTTTCAATGATACGTCAAAAGATCACAAATCGTATCTAGTCGAAGACATTACCCTTAAAAATTGAAAAAATTTCCCTCGTTCCCCGTAAAAGGGGGAAACCACCAAAAAAATTACAAATTTAAAAATCGCTAATTTTCGAAATTTTTTCAATTTTTTTTACTTAAAAGTGCCATAACTTTTTCAAAAATAAACATATCAATATAATTATTTTTTATATAGATGAATAATATCATTACCTTTCATTTGGTATATTTTTTTGATAAATTTAACCCTTTACCTGCCCACAGGGGGGGATTTAAAATGACCACTTTTTCCACAAAAAATTTACTTTTTCAATTTAAATTTTGAAAGTGTTCCGGAAAGTCTGACACTTTTATATATATCTTAAATTAAAGCTAATGTAATTTACTTTATTATGAAAAAAATAATTTCGGACTTTATTTTATCTTCACGGTGAAAATGGCTACCGAATGCTATTATTGTGTGAAAATTCTCGATTTTATTTTTTAAATTTTTAACTTTATAATGCTATGACATATTGAAAAGTGTATGGATCAACATTATTTTTTTATGAGAAATAATATTTTTTAATAATCCCATTTTCATTCTACATACTTTATCTTAATTAGGATATTAATAATGAACTAGCAGATAATGTAGCTTTTGGAATAGTCCACCAATTTTTTAAAATTAAACACTATCTAAAGATATGCATCGAAGCGTTTTTTTCTGATAGTGATTTTAATCACTGTCAGATATCATTATACTTGATCCATCTATACCACAACCCCCCTGTGCTGGGTTTTTTTAAACATTGAATTAAATTGTTTTAATAAAACAACAAAATATTATATTAAATAAAAATGTAGTCAAACTAATTTTTTTAACAATTTTTATAATGCAATATTCAGAATTAAACTTATAATCTTTATCTTTAATATTTTATAAAATTCAAACTTATTTGCTAAAATTAGATATTTTGTTAAATTAGTTTTTGAAACATCAATTGAGTAATAAGAAGATTGGAAACATGTTTTGAACTAATCGTTATTAGTTTATTATCACAGGATTTCATTTGAATTTCAATGTCATAAGCAAATCTCTTAATACCAAAAATTCTAAAAACTCTTCATCTTGCTCCTTATCATTAATTTTTCTAAACTTGTAACAAATAGTTTTTCTTCATTATTAAGTGCTTTTATGTATTTATCCATCAATCTATAACTTGTTCCTGCTTATAAATAATTTCTCCTTGATTTTCTATTTATCCACATTTGTGTGTACATACTCCAAAGAAAATTTTACTATTTTGTATGCTTCTTTTCTTTTTCCCATTATCATTAAAATGTCTATTTCCTTACATTTTTCTTTTGCTGCTTTTAATTTCCTTATAATTAAGTTTCTTAAAGTCTTGTATATTCTCTGTTATTAATTATGACAGGTTACAAATATCATAAAAAAAGTCGAATTAATTGACCGGATAAAATCTCTAACTTTTCATGGCGAACTGAAAAATATAAAATGAGGATCGCCAGTCCACAGGGCGAGACATTGTACTGTCGGACCATAGTTGGATTAAAAAACAAATTATATTGTACTATTTAATATAAAAAAAATAAAGTTGGTTCAAATTTTTAGTCATTATTAAATTAAATTACTACTAATAATAGAAAATTAAGGTAAAATGTTTTTTATAGTTGAACAGGCCATAATAATACGTACTAAATGTTGAAATGATTATAGATTTAGAATTAACTAAAGTTGTATTTGATGTTTGTTCAGTCGCTGATAGTTGATGTACACCAACACCTCGTGACAGTTATCACATAACCATGATGATCAGGGATGACCTTATATAAGGCCGTTGTTCATACCTTATAAACTAGGGAGAGTTGATTTTTAAAAATAAAAAACGACTATGTTTACTCCCCGACAAAACGTCTGTCTCTCGACCCGGTGGTCCGATGACGACACCCGGCTTAGAGTAGAGTAGAGTAGAGTAGAGGTCAACAAATTTTACTAACCAGTGTCGGAAATTACTAAGAGCAATTCGAATCATATTATATCATAAGGCGACAATATAGGTGGTGAGCAGAGCAAATAATGTTCAAGATAGGAAAGGAGCGGGGTGAATGTACACACAAATGCCGTCTATGATCGGCCCGAAGTGGTACACAGCTGACTATCTCTCACACGCACAAAAACTAACAATTCACAACACCTTATCGTGATTATTTGAATGATAAACGCCGTCGCAACACGCCCTCGGCTCAACTAAATTAATTAATTTAGGGTACACGCATATATATATATACTAAATTTCAAATATTTAAAATAGTTTTCTTAGGATTTAGAGCCCTATAAAGTAGGAAATTTTATCAAAATANCTCGGCTCAACTAAATTAATTAATTTAGGGTACACGCATATATATATACTAAATTTCAAATATTTAAAATAGTTTTCTTAGGATTTAGAGCCCTATAAAGTAGGAAATTTTATCAAAATACACGTATTCTAGGGGCATTATTTCTGTTTGGTGACCTAATTTCAAAAAAAAAATTTTTAATTTTTTAGCTATGTATCTTTTATGGTGTATTAAAAAATTGAAGTTTGAGTAAAAAGTATAACATGTAAAATTTAGGTTTATTAATCTGTGTTTTAATATTAATGTTAATGACATTGGTTTTAATGTAGAATGAAATATTTTGTCATAGTAAAAACGCCAGCGATAGAGTTGATGGAACAGCAAGAAGAAAAGTAAGATTATGTAGCTTAATTCTAAGCACCTTCACTGAAATAATTAATTTTTTAACAAACGGTACTGTTAATTTGATGATTTGTATAAGGTGATTTTAAAATATCAAAATTTTAAAATATAGAGACGTTATTATGTTCTTTGTGATGACAAATTATGTTTCAATTTTACGATGAAAAAATCTAATGTAAATAAATATACCCACCTTAGAAGTACAGCAAAACAAAAAACACCTAATATGAGATTTAAATTGTGTTAAACTATTCTCAGGAAAAGGGAAAAACACAGATTTTTACCAATTAATAAAAGTAATATAAGAAGCCTTAAAATTTTATTAACTGATATTTATGAAGACGCAATAGAGCAGAGATGAGAATGCTTAGATGGAAGAGTAGAGTTACTAGAAGATAGAATAAGGGTGGCCAACCCCCAAGTAGTTGGGATTAAGACGAAGAAAAAAAAGAAGAATACTATAATATATAAGACAATTACAAAAATGTGGTTTTGAAACAACAAAAAACTATCATAAAATTATTTTATTTTGAGCGGATTTTAACTGATTTTGTAATGCTAAATTTTACATGTTACACTTTTTTCTCAAACTTTATTTTATTTTGTGTGTATTAAGCAGATACATAGCTAAATAATTAAAAATTTGTTTTGAAATTAGGTCCCCCAACAAAAATAATGTACCTAGAATACGTGTATTTTTATAAAATTTTTAACTTTGTAGGCCTCTAGATCCAAAGAAAACTGTTTTAAATATTTTAAATTTAGTTAAGACATATATTATACACTATACAATACTACACATAAAACTCACTATAAAACAATAATTTCTTAATGGTTTTAAGTGAGCTCAAAAACGCTAATTTTCACAAAAGAAGCCCCATTTTTAGAAATTTATTAAAACTAGAATTTAACATAATTTTTTTTTTTTTAATGTAAACTTTAAGTTATAAAAGTGTTAAGTCTAAAATTTGAATTCGATTAAGTCAATATTGAACAACCTGTGTGTTTTTTAACGTTCTGGCTATTTTTACCATTTTTTACATTGAAAACAGCCTTAAAAGTGGGAAGGTCATAAAAAAAAGTTGTTTTAATCTAATTATATAAAGAATAAATTCTGAAAGTTTGAGAAAAAAATGAGGTGTCTGAGCAATCACTTGTTGATTTGGCATGGATTGACCTATTATTTTATAACCTCTGAATGAGATAAACTCTTACTTTTATCTGACATTCGTTATATTTTCTTCTATTATTAATCTTTTATAATTCAATTTGAATAAAATAAAATAAAGTTTTGAAGTACGATAAAATATTTTATAAATTAAATATCTCCATAAATAACATGGTTATGTTCTATAACCATATGTTTTTGAAATGAATAACGCAAAAAAATCATAATTATTTAAAATTTATAAAAAGTTATGTCTTGAAAATATATTATATTATTATTATCACATTTTTATATTTCAACCATGCTATTTCTATACATTGCCACTATGCTTATATTTTTTGTAAATTTGTTTGCAAAAAATTTTTATACGAAGTATAGGAATAGATAATATTTGGCCTAAAAGAAAATGGCTCTCAAATAGCAAAATCTTTTATCATGAGTTATGATTCAAATTGATCATTTATATTTGTGATATAATTTTTAAATTATCTTTTTTTGTGTTTAAAATAAAAGCTAAATAGAATATAAATTAAAATATACTCATAAAAATTATAAGTTCATTGATATGAAAATATTTTTTGGAATATATTATAAAATTCAACAAATTGGTATTAACACAAATTTAAAAATTATATTTGAACAAAAGCAATCTGATTCCATTTCACATGATTTATGATCAATTTATCTGCTAAAAATTATTACCATGACAAATATTAAAAATTCGATTTAAATATTACTACATGAATTCTGAAACAATACAATTCCCTGTAAATGTTTTATCAAATCTATTTATTTAAAATTAAATTAAAATACACAATTTTTATTAATTACTACTATCTATTTTATTGAACCCTAAACAATTATATTCACTTGTAATAGCAACACCATAAAATATCCTAAATTGTCCCAATGCATATTCATACAAAAGTATTGGACTTCCTGTAATGTTATTATTCAATGATAGAACTTCAGTCTCCCATGATTCTATTAATTGATTTTTTTCTACAATATCAAAAAAGCACTGTACATTGATAAAATAACTTAGGTCACTTATTCCTTGACTAAAGAGATTTCGTGCTGTAGAAAAATCTAACAAAAATGTACGGGCTTTTAATATTACTTCATTGACAGATAAATTTAAAAAATCATTCTTCGTTAAAGTAAGCTGTTCAATTTTGGGGAAAAAATTATTCAATAAATTATAGGTATATGATAATGATGAATATTTATTAATCGTCATATTCCAAATTGTTTCAGCTTTTAATATGTCTAAAGCTAACAACATGTTTTTAAACATTTCTTTTGAATTTTTAACCGCATCAAGAAAATTTATAATGCAATCTACATAGCAATCTAAATTGTATTGACTCTTTTCGATTCTGCATATTTTTATAATAGCAGACATATACGTGTTATAATTCTTTAACACTTCAGTATATCTGCACCTTATTAGCTGTGTAAAACATTTCTTTTTTTTATTAAAATTAAAATTATCTACAGTGTCTCTAATAATTCGATCAGTAGTGATTATTTCATCATCAATTATTATTTTTATATGATTTAATAGCTTCCAATGTCTAATTTCACGGAACAAAATATTTAGTGTTTGGATTGCTTTTTTTTGAGTCAAGTTGTATTTTTGAGGGGGTGTGAGCCTTAAATAAAAAAAACATCTGTATTATTCAGTTTATTTAAATATAATTCTTATAGTGAGAAAACAAAGTTTTTACTAAAAATAACACTTACTCAGTTGTACTAGGATGAAGTAATTCATGGAAACCAATTTTTAAATAATAGTCAGTTATTGTTTGTAAATAATAATTTTTTAACTTTTCACTAATAAAATCAACAAGTTTCATATTACAATTATTGGAATAGTATTCACAATAGTACTTTTCTCGTATATTTATATCATTTGCACTATTTATAATAGTTACATTATTTTTAAAAAATTCACGTGTAATGGCAACTACTTCATCAACAAAATTATTTATATCATTGTAATCTTCTTTAACTTCTTTAATTTTGATGCTTCCGTCATTATTTACATAGTTCATTATTTCTGGGGTTTTCATTTGATACGTATAATGTTTAACGCTATAAATTTCTTCTATCACCGTGTTTGAATAATATAATGAATTGCTCAATACTAATTTTGTATCTATGTGATCAATAAATGATATAGCCTTGTATAAATATTCAAACATCATATTTGAATTTTTAGCTGCATTTAAAAGTACTACAGTGCAATAAATTGCATTTTCAAATGAATTTTCTTCAAAAAAATGTTTACAATTATCTATAATAATTTTTAGATGTTCAGTAAATTTTTGTAGTACATCAACAAATAAATAGTTAATTAAATCAACTATATTAAAATATATTTTTATTGTTTTTTGAACACCATTGAATTTTTTTTGTTTATAATCTTGTATGCTTATAATTTTATCATTTTCAATCCTTATTGATATGTGTTCTAGATTTAAATGTTGTAATTGCACTTGGATGTGATTCGTTACTTTTTTGAAATATGTTATATACTCTTTTTTTAAATCTAAATCATTTATTTTACAATCAACAAGTCCATCTTCAAAAGAATAACTTTTAGTAAAAAAAATTAAGACTAACAATCCAATGTTCATCTTCAAAATTTTATGTTAAATCACGAATATTTGATTTATTAAATACGTTTATAATGATAATAGCCTATATTTTTTAACTAATTGATCACTAAAATAGCTTTATATATGTATGAAATAGATATGAGTACTTTTCTATATAATAATTTTTATAACACTTGTTTAATTATTGATTTAATGATGAAATTAAAAATTAAAAATTTATAAATATAGTTCATTATAAATTTTGACAATATTAAAATAAATCTAGCATTCATTATTATAATTTCGATATAGTATCAACAATTTTTTTTAGCTGGTCTCTAGTGATACTGTGTTACTGAACGTCCTAGAGTTTATTTTTATTACCTAAAAATACATTTATTTTAAATTTCATCTTACGTATCTCACGATGAAGAATATACTTCCTTTTCCACGTTGAAATGATTATATTAGATGATTCTTTTATCGTAAAACGCTTATTTCTACAAAATAAAAATAATATTTATTGTTTTAGCTTCTATGTGAAGCTGAGAATTTAAAATTTGAAAACATTATATACGTATTTAATTTTTTTTTGTTTATCACTATTTTATCTCAACTATCATTTCAGCATTTGCAATCGAAGGACCAAATGAGTTATGAAGAACTAAATATTATTTTACTGAATTAATTATTGATATATTTTCGCAATCTGGAATTGCGAAATTTTGAAGAATTTGTAATTTAGTTTTAGTTTTAGTTTTAGTTATTATCGAGGTGGACATAATGCCCATGCACTCAGACCTGTTGGTACATCGTGCGCACCTCATACCGAATTGTCTTGATTCAGTTTACCCACCTAAGTGTTATCACCAAAGTGTTAATACATTACCAATCATAAAGTCACCTCTAAAGATAACCAAAGAGTCCTGTCTTTCTGGCGAAATTTAGTATCTCTCTGGGTTTTAGGTTTTTAATATCTTCTTTTTCAGGAAAAGGTTTATTCAAGTAGTTTGATCTTAGTGTGGACAAGGCTTCACATTCGCACATGATGTGAAATGAGTCTTCCTCTTTTACTTCACATTTCCTGCACAATGGTAATTCTGATACCCCCATTGCATTAAGATGTTTAAGCAGGTGACCATGTCCTTTCAGTAAACCAGTCAGGGCGCTTTTTGGATGTTTAGTCATGCTATTAATATCACCCAACAGTATACCAGGGATCTTGATAAATATTTTAGATTGTCTAAGTACTACCAAGTACATCCAGATTTTCCTGTGTTGTTCTCTGCACCAATTCTTGGGTAACGCTTTGAGCAATTGCTCAGTGAGTCCTACCACTGGTTCTGGTCCAACATAGGTGTTCAGCATTTTCATTTTCAGTGACACCGTTGTGTCCTGGTACACACGCTAGTGTAACTTTGTTGAACCTCGATAGTGATTCTAAAGTTTTCCTGCATTCAAGGACCAGTTGAATTCACCTGATCGTTACAGAGTATCGCCATCACCTCTGCTTGGAAAACAGAAGAGTTATGCCCATTGACATGCTGACATTTATTCGAGGCTTTACACCCTAAAAGCCAGCACCTACCTTTTCTGATTTTTTGGATCCATCTGTATTATCACAAATCCTCCTTTTCAGTCAGGTGATTAATATTCCATTCTCTACGTGTAGTGATCTCCACTTTGTAGGGAATGTTATTCTTAAGAACCGGTTTGATATAGTCCAAGGGGTTTTCCAAAAATCCCTGGTCTATCTCTTTTAGTATTTTACCATGTTCTGTTGTATCACTCTCCAAAGTCCACATACCTAAGTTGTGGAATCTCAGTGCTGTGGCTTTGGCGTGAGCGTTCACCTCTAGATACAGAGAAGTCAATCCAATTAGTGCCTCTAATGCGACTGTTGGTGTAGTTCTTAATGCTCCAGTGAAGAATTTGTAATTAGTAGATTATGTAGGCTATAACATGTACACGTCTGTTATAGCTTCACTAGTTAATAGTTTAAATTTAATATTAATTACAATAATTAATTTTCTCATATATTTTATTATATATATTATCGAAAAATAGAGATGACAGTTGTCAAAATGACTTTGATAAAATGATACGTATGAGTTGATAAAGTCATAACCACAAATCTAATTGACCATAACCTAGTCAACATTAATCAAACACTAATGAGTGAGAACAGATAATTTGCAACAGGCATATGCACTGATAATAGTACAAAGAGGGTGTTTTGCGGGTTTACTTAATGAAATAATCAACACTGCAATTACTTTTGCGAAAAAACTTTATTGATGAAATTTACATTGTAATTGGGCACTCGCACGTATGTTATTTGTTCTCTGGACTGGGTGTAAATCGGTACTACTACTATATTACAATCGTAAAGCTTATCACTACTCAATACACAACATGCCGCCCATCGTTGACCAACAAAAAAAAATTGTTCAACCATACAATAATAAATTATACAACAAAATCAAAATAATACGAATAATTTAAACATTAAATGACTTATAACAATTAGACCACCGCAAAATGACAAATTCATCTGTTACGCAAAAAAAAAAAAACAATTTTAAATATTTTAGTTATAAGTGCACATATAAATGCATATAAAATTACATTGAACATACAAATATCAAATATAAAAATATTAAATTCAATAAACGATTATACTAATATATATTTTTTCATAGAATAATAATAAATTATGAAATATAAATTAATACAAGAATACAAACAACAAAATAAACCTTTTTAATTTATTTAAGGACAGACTGATTGCCTTTTAACGACAAGGGACACAAATTACGTACAGCACGTTTAAAAATACCACGTGTAGTTGTGCCACAGGAGCCTTACAATCCGCTTCTTCAGTGACACTGACTACTATCTCCAGGGTCCATTTTAGAGGAGGTACATTGTCTTCTTGGATCATCGCTCCTGTATCTGTTGAAGGTAATCTCGTGACCATACTACCCATAACTGCTGTGACAACAGCACCACTCTTCTCCACCTCGTAAGTCGGTTTGGTGTTGTAGTGGTTTCATCACGTTCTGGCCATGCATTTAGAGAGTCGCCAATGAGAAAATTGCCTGGCGTGAGAACAGACATGTCGTTTGGATCGTTGGAAAGGGGCGTTAGCGGCCGTGAATTCAAGGTCACCTCCATGCGCACCAACACTGTATTGAGCTCTTCAAACATCAATAACGCGTTTCCTAGCGTTTTAAAAAGATGAGACTTTAGTGACTTGACCGCAGCCTCCCATAACCCACCAAAATGGAGCGAACGAGGAGGTATGAAATGCCACTGTTGTCATAAAAAAGAAAAATGGTAATAGGTTATGGATATAGATATTAATTATAATAATAAAAAGAATGAAGAGAGATAAAATAATTGGCCATATGTGTGTGCAGAGGAGCCAATGGAGCTGGAAGAGTGCATATTAGAGGACGCCATCGACATAGTCCTCTCCTGTCCCCCATCTCCTGACCATGCTAAAGAAAAAGAAGAATAAAAAAAAAAAAAAAAAAACACCCTCCACCACCCTCGTTCGCGTTATGCGACCACCACCAAGCGCGATCACGCGCGAACAACCAGCTCGTCAGGACAAACAACGTAAGTATTTGCGGCCTTCACCGTGATAGGCGGTATAATTAGCTATTTATTTCCAATTGGTAATCGCGCCATGCGTATTCGATTCACTGAGTAGACCGGCGGCTTGGCGGGGGGGTATTTGACACGGCCCCGCGTCGTTCTCTATACACGGAGCCCCGTGACCCATGACACCTTTATCAGCCACCGCCCTACTACGTACATATGGTAATTTGACTGACTAATACCGCTTGCGATACGCCACGGTACAAAGTCCAGCAAGTGCCGCACGTCCATCTACGACCCACCGCAAATATACGTTAAGTCATCTCCGTGACACCACACCGATTGGATTGCTCGCCGAACACGCCGTTACGATTATTGTCTTCGTGCACACATATGTATATATATCTTCCGTAAAAGAACTGCTTACGGTGTTTGCTTCTGTTATAATTGTATATATAACAATCTAAAGTTTGTACAACCTAAAATAAAGTATACGTTACTTTGAACCCAAAAGGTGTTGTGTTTCTTTCTTTTTTTTCATTAGTACATTAATACCACCCGAGTGCGGTAAAAATCAGCAACCGCAACAAATGTGAAATTGATTTTGTTTTGAAAAATTGCATGTAGGGAGTATCTGTAAGAATTACTAATCTAGGATGTGGTGTTGTTATAACTTCTATAGTACAAGCATAGGCTAAACCTGTTTTTTGTAAAGCAAAAGCATATTTATCATTTTGTACTATGTAAGTGTATATTTCTTCTGATTGATTATTCTTTTTTGAAATTACTAATGTTGCTGGTCCTTCATAGATAGTATCAAATTCATCAGAATAACAATTTTCATAGTTTTGTGGGGTAAAATGATCCCATTGAATATTACCTAATAATGCGTCTATTCCATGAAAATTGGATAATTTTAATCTAGTTCCGGATGGTGTTATTAATATGTCATTTTTAAAATCAGCAACAGCTATACCGTCACTTAGACGTACTTTATATTTTGCTTGTAAAACAACATTATGCCATGTATTCTTTTCATTTGAAAANAAACAACATTATTCCATGTATTCTTTTCATTTGAAAAAGTTTGACCGTCACAATTTCCATCTGCACTTATTGATCCTGCTATTGTAGCTGAGAAATATTTTGTTTGATTTATTTTTAAATTATTTATCATTACATTACTATTTATTTGAAAAGATAATCTTTGATGTATATCTTCGCATGCTATTGGTGATAAATCTATTATTTCTGAATAAAATCCTGAGCTTACCATTTGAGCATCAGATAATAAGCTACATTTTGTTATTATATAATCTGCTAAGATATAACATGCTTTAAACTGTATTACATGAGTTTCTTTGCGTTGTAATAATTTTATCATTGGAATTTTGGTAATATTTGAAGGTGTTGGAGCTTGACAATCACCTACTGATAGTGTACTGAATGAAGTTATATTTTTGGGACCATCACAAGCATAAGCAATGAATGCATTAGAGTATTGTAGAATAAAA